CGGGTTCGCCGCACAAATCCAACAGATCCTGAGTGAGGCGGATGCCCTCCACAAGGAAGCAGATCACCAAAGACTAAAAGAGGTTCTGTACAAGTACAAGGACTCCCTGGACTGTGGCATGACCGACATCCACACGGTGCGCATCCCGACAAGCCCAAATGCGCCACCCACATTTGTGCGGCAGTATCTATTCTGCCAGTGTCCAGAGAAAGTGTCTGCCGATCAGAACTAATAGATGACACTCACCTCGTGGTCTACGCTGTCTCAACACAGCCTGCGACAGGATCACCTGCACAGGTGACCATCAAGGCCCAGAGCCCCTCAAATGACTCTACAATGAAGGAACCCTACGCTGGGTTCAATGCACAAATCCAACAGATCCTGTGTGAGGCGGATGCCCTCCACAAGGAAGCAGATCACCAAAGACTAAAAGAGGTTCTGTACAAGTACAAGGACTCCCTGGACTGTGGCATGACCGACATCCACACGGTGCGCATCCCGACAAGCCCAAATGCGCCACCCACATTTGTGCGGCAGTACAAGATTCCAATAGCATCATATGAGCCAGTGCAATAAATCATAGACTCCATGTTGGAAAAGGGGGTCATCCGCCCCTGTAAAAGCTCAAATGTGGCAGACCACCTCAAAGAAATCGATCACGTCCTGAACCAGCTGGCAATGGCAGGAGCGAAAATTGCCCTCCACAAAGGACAATGGTGTAAAACCAAAGTGAACTATGTCGGCCTGCTTGTCGGACAAGACGGCATCAAACCACAGTTCAGCCGCACCCAAGCAATCCAAAACATAAGGACACCCACTAACACTAGCTGCGAAGCTTTCTGGGAGTGTGCAATTACTCAAGACAGTTCATTGAAAACGACACTGACATTGCACGACCACTTTGTTTGGTCGGAAGCCTAGGACACAGCTATGAGCGAGCTCAAACAACGCCTGTGCTCCGCCCTGTGCCTGGCCTACGCAGACCCAGGAAAGGAATTATATATGGACGCTGGAAACTCAAATCACTGCCTCAGCACAGACCTGTATCAGCTCCACGACAAAGACAAGCGAGTGGTCGCTTACGCCAGCAAAACGCTGCTTCCCCCAGAATGCAAGTACTCAGACTGCGAAAAAGCTTTGCTTTGCACTGTGTGGGCCATCCAGCGTTTCTCCAACTACATTGGAGCTCAGAAGGTTATCATTGAAACATGTCACCAGCCAGTAACCTTCCTCAATAGCCAACGAGTCAGGGATGGCGTGGTAACCAACGCACGCATAGCTACCTGGTTAATGATGCTCCAAGGATGGGACGTTGAGGCAAGATATGCCCAAAACCACAAATCATCTCTAGGAAACAGGCTAGCAGCCTGCCAGAACTGTTCAACGGACATGCTGCACACAGCAGCAGAACCCAAAGAACCTTCACAACCACAACTGACAAACCACTGGTACTTCGAGGAGAATGTGTGTGAAGGAATGCCCACAGCATATGTCGATGGCTGCTCCTACAATCAACAGGGCAACTTGAAAGCTGGAGTGGGTGTGGTCTGGCTCAACAACAACCCTTTCCCAGCGCAACAATTCAAAAAAGGTCCGAGGTCACTCACGTCAACCAGAACAAGACAAAGGTCTCTATGACCAAACCGATGCACTCGCCAAAGCAGGTGCATTACACGGAAAGTCCTGGACATTTCCTGCCCTCCCACCCAACCCGTCAGTGGCAACCATAACCCGCCGCCAGCACGCAAAAAAACCCTGCCTCTTTCCACTTTGAACTCTCACCTCAATTCGCCACTGATGATCTCCTCACCCTCCAAGCTTCGGATCCGACACTGCAAACTATTGCAGCTCATCTTTCAGACCCATTAACTCATCCCATTTCCACCTCCGACCTAGCCACTTCCTACGATCTCCGCACGCTCAACTCCATCAAGCACATGCTGCATCTCACATATGTCCCTGAGCCCCTCACTGCACCAAAGCTCGTAGTCCCTCAGGACCAAAGGGGGTTGATGCTGACACACGCCCACGATTCACCATGCGCTGGACACCATGGCACCAAGGTCACCTATGAAACATTCAAGCAAGTGGCATAATTGCCTGGCATGCAGCAAGATGTGGTGGAGTACGTAAAAGGATGCCCGGTGTGTTGCCAGTGTTGCAAATCCAAACCACCGAGCACCACTGTAATGGAAAGGAATGACCTTCCCATGCTCTGACCTCCAAATAGATTGAGTGGGACCCCTGCCCCAGTCAACACGGAGTAACAAATACTTCCTCACTGTGGTTTGCGAATTCACAAAGTGGGTAGATTGTCTCCCAGCTCCCAATGATACAGCAGAAACGACAGCCTGCCTTTTGATGAACCACATCTTCTCAAGGTTCAGACTGCCTTTAAGGGTCAACTCTGACTGAGAAACCCACTTCACCACCGAAGTCATGCAGGAAGTGTGGAAACTCCTGGGTATACAGGCCAAGCTCCATATAAGACTCATGGTGTGGTGTTGTGTATTTTAAAGTTAAAACTTTGCCCAGATCTTGCTACCTAACTCGTAGCTTATAAATTATCACTAGCATGTATTATTAACCTGTGGCCAAGGGATAATACAAATATCCAAATTGTTAAGATATACTGATGTTAACATCTTGCTGGACGAACAGTTGATAAAGTGTAAACTATCAATTTTCAGTTGGAATCAGTTCGATCGGCTTGATTTTGAATCTTCAGATTCTAATTCCTTCCGAAAACCTGAGCTAAGAAAAAAAAATCCTTACAGCTGCGCAGACCGATCTGCATATGAAATCAAAGTACCGGGTGAGCAATTGGAGAGCAGACAACTCTTTAAGCTTCTGATTTGCTCTCGCGGTACTTTGATGTCATACACCGATCGGATTGACTGACGCCGATACATCTTGAACAAGCCTTGTGACACATAGAACAAAGGAAGCAATGAGAACATGACACATAGAACAAAAGGCCCACATGGCAGGATCACATGACAGGGGCAGAGAAACACATGACAAGGCAGAAACCAAGTAAAGAAAATACAAAATAAAAGAAAACCTACATAAATAAAACTTAAAAAAAAAAAAAAAAACAGTCTGACAGTATTATTATTATTGTTGTTGTTGTTGTTGTCCAGCAAAAAAAAAGCATTAAATTGTTTAAACGTGAAAAGTAAATCGAAACTTTAAAGTACTGTGCATGTGCAACTAAAAAAGAACTGTGCTTATGCAATAATGCAGAAGTAGCGTAATGAAGCATGACATGTGCTACGAGCTGTTGTTTTTGTATAATGAAGTGTCATAAATTAATGTTATGTTGTTGTTGTTGTTTTTTATTTTCCTTACACTCATCGCCTGTGAAGTAGAGCAGAACAACATCCCATCAGTTCTCACTTTATATTCATCCACTCATCCACAGACAGCTTGTTTTGGCCACCGGAATGGGTGATTTTACTGCTTGATAAATAAAACAGCATAGCACAAATCTTCACATGCTCGTTGTCTCCTAATTAGGACCCAAAATAGATAAATATTAAGTCTGCTCTTTAAAACAAAGAAAATAAACAACGGCAGGCGAACAATATGTCCAAACTGGAAAATCTGTATATTTGTGCAGTGTGCAAATGTCAAAAGATCAAATCCGATATTGAAGCTTGTGACATATAAACGCACACATCAACCTGATCACTTTATTTAGCGTTCATGTAAACACTACATTCAGATTCATCAATCAGAATGATTTCATTCCAATTGGAACAAAAAGTGACTGGCGTAATAGTTGTTGAAAATTTAACTTTGCCATCACAGGAATAAATTACACACACATATATATATATATATATATATATATATATATATATATATATATATATATATATATATATATATATATATATATATATATAAAACAGTTATTTTAAATTGCATTAAAATTTCACATTTTTACTGTATATATGATCAAATAAATCCAAACATTTGAAGGTAGTGTAATGCAATGCAGCTCATAAGCTTTAGAACAGAGCTTTTATCTCATACAGTTTTGCAAATTTGCAAATAACAATTTTTAAAACAAAAAATACTAAGAAAATGTTTTTAACTATTGATTTTATTGTGATTGTGTTGGTGTCTATGGTAATTCAGCAATGAACATGAATGTAAGTTGCTGGGCTCATGTTTGTCAATGTGTGTGAATACACAGCACAAATTCATTCAGTTAACCAAATCATATTTGTCCCCCTAAATCTGTCACCTGAGGTGATTTGTACCAAGCTAAAAACAGTACTAAGTTTTCTTATTGGAATAAAACTTAAAAATTATATATGTTTTCTCTTGTAGAGTCTAAATAATGATCTGAATGAAACCTTAAAAACGTTTTGACACCAAAAGGGCCATGACTAACAGAATAGCATGGCGTGAGTGCTTTATGAGTGTACTGTATGTACAGCTCAGATGTTTCCTGTGGAAGTGCTCTCAAATTACAGTGCTTCCTAGGAGGCTAAAGTGCTCTTAAAAGAGGGCTACAAAGCCTATCTCAGGGGGGAGTGCTACCATTTAGCTTGATGGATGCTCTGGAAAGTATAAGATATGTTGCCCACATGTAGGTTGTAATAGCAACTGTGGATGGCTTTGTACCTATGCTCCAGGAGAGGGCAAAACAGGGCTCTCTGCTGGTGTATGATACTGCACTTGTATTGAGCTATATATGACTCCAAATTAGCATTAGCATTCCAAGAAGCATGCACCTCCACAGTTCTTGCCTAAGTCTATTGATCGGATCTGAGGCTTTGACCCATGATGTAATGGTTTCAGTTGCTTCAGCAAAGCCTAGTGAAAAGGTTTTGGTGAATCAACTTTAGGCCACATTCACAAGAACACTGCCAGACTGTATGGATCAATACTGGAGCTTCACAGATTATGTCCATTGATTTTAGCATGGGGACTGCTGCTTTGTTCGGAGCATGTTTAAGATTGTACATTTTGGAATGTTTTTGCAGGAGCTGAGGGTGCAGTGTTCAGCAACTCAGTGGAGACCCCGCACGTGAGAGCTGAGCCCTTCAAAGAGTTACGGTAAGACAGTTTGACAGTATATGATGTCATTGTTGAATTCTGGATTCTAACTAGATGTTCCTAGGTATTTTAATTTTCTTTAACTACATGACTACATTTGTTTATACCATATTGCAGGTCAATATTGTTTTTCTTTTATGAATTGGGTAACACTTTATTATAACTTTCATTTATAAATAATTAACAAACATTATATAACGCTTAACAGATCATTAGTTAATATATATTCACATAGCTAGAAATATGAGATAATGTTTACTAATGAACTTACTAAACATTACCTAATGATTAACATATGATTATTTAATGTAAACTGAAATACTTACAAATGTCAGTAAACTTTCAGTTCATATGATCTTCATTTGTTGATCTTTGTTTGTTTTGTAGACCTCTATTAACACATCTTACCAAATAATCTATTAATTGTTTGTTCATGTTAAATTTGAAATTATTAATCATTTGTAAATGTTTATAAACCATTACTAATAATTTAGTATCTTTATGGGCATTGGACTTTTAGCTAATGAACAAGGTTTGTGTAAAGGGTGGCTGGTTAAGTTTAGCTAATATATATAAGACATAACCGATTTTTTGTTGCAAAAAATGTTTTTATTGCACCAATACTCACATTAGTATACTACTCTTATAAACAGGATATTCCTTGAATCATAAATAAACAGGAGAGGAGAAACCAATCATTTTTAAAAAGAAAATACTTGTTAATTTATCAAAACAATATTATATAAACAGATTGAACCATGTTCTCTTATAGTAATCAAAAAGACTCTGTACACTGTTGACCCTTTAACGAACCCTAAAACCTACCTATACTACCAAACCTGTCCCTAACCTTACCCGTATCACACCTCAATAGCAGCAAAAGTGTTGTGCATCAACACAATCTTTTAATCATTTTATGGCATGTTAAAATTGTTTGTAGATTTTCAGTAAGTGCTTGATCATATGGAATTGAAAGTTTAATGACATTTGTAAGCATTTTAATTTACATGAAATAATGATTTGTTAAACATTATCTAATGTTTAATAAGTTTATTAGCAAACATTAGCATGCACATTATCTCACATTTCTAATGCTTTGAATTAACTATGATCCTTTAAGCATTATATAATGTGTTAATTATTTATTAATGAAAGTGGTAACACTTTTTATGAAGCTCGTGTTCATAATATATTATAAGAGTATTCTTAAAGCATTATAATGAATGGATAATGTATTATAAAAAAAATAAAAAAAATCACAAAGTCTGCTGCCTCAGTTTTTATGATGGCAATTTGCATATACTCCAGAATGTTATGAAGAGTGATCAGATGAATTGCAATTAATTGCAAAGTCCCTCTTCGTCGTGAAAATTAACTTAATCCAAAAAACATTTCCACTGTATTACAGCCTTGCCACAAAAGGACCAGCTGACATCATGTCAGTGATTCTCTCATTAACACAGGTGAGAGTGTTGATGAGGACAAGGCTAGAGATCACTCTGTCATGCTGATTGAGTTAGAGTAACAGACTGGAAGCTTTAATAGGAGGGAGGTGCTTGAATTCATTGTTCTTCCTCTGTTAACTATGGTTACCTGCAAGGAAACGTGCAGTTATCATTGCTTTGCACAAAAAGGGATTCACAGGCAAGGATAATGCTGCTAGTAAGATTGCACCTAAATCAATAATTTATTGGATCATCAAGAACTTCAAGGAGAGAGGTTCTATTGCTGTGAAAAATGCTTCAGAGCACCCAATAAAGTCCAGCAAGCACCAGGACCGTCTCCTAAAGTTGATTCAAGCTGCAGGATCGGGGCACCACCAGTGCAGATCTTGCTCAGGAATGGCAGCAGGCAGGTGTGAGTGCATCTGCATGCACAGTGTGGCGAAGACTTTTGGAGGATGGCCTGGTGTCAAGAAGGGCAGCAAAGAACCCACTTCTCTCCAAGAAAAACATCAGGGACAGACTGATATTCTCCAAAAGGTACAGGGATTAGATTGCCAAGGACTGGGGTAAAGTCATTTTCTCTAATTAATCCCCTTTCTGATTGTTTGGGGCATCCGGAATAAAGCTTGTCTGGATAGGAAAAGGTGAGCGCTTCCATCAGCCCTGTGTCATGCCAAAAGTAAAGCATCCTGAGACCATTCATGTGTGGGGTTGCTTCTCAGCCAAGGGAGTGGGCTCACTCACAATTTTGCCTAAGAACACAGCCATGAATAAAGAATGGTACAAAAACATCCTCCGAAAGCAACTTCTCCCAACCATCCAAGAAAAGTTTGGTGATGAACAATGCCTTTTCCAGCATGCTGGAGTGCCTTGCCATAAGACAAAAATGATACCTAAGTGGCTCAGGAAACAAAACATCGCATTCATTTTGCAAGAATGGGCTGACATCAGTCAGGATGTGGCCCAGAAGTTGATTAACAGCATGCCAGGGCGAATTGCAGAGGTCTTGAAAAAGAAGTGTCAACACTGCAAATATTGAGTCTTTGCATAAACTTATTGTAATTGTCAATAAAAGCCTTTTACACTTATGACATTCTTGTAATTATACTTCAGTATACCATAGTAACTTCTGACAAAAATATTTAAAAACACTGTAGCAGCACTCTTTGTGAAAATTAATATTTGTGTCATTCTCAAAACTTTTGGCAAATGGCTGTACACAATGAACACAATACATCCGCTTAACTTTCAATGGATTATATTTTCCATAGTTGTAATGTATTAAAAGTCTCATATCTTGCCATTGTTAACTTGTTACTTTACTTAAAGCAGACAAATACCACTTATAAATAATAACAACAACAATGACAACAACAATAATAATACAAATAAAAATAATATTTTTTTTCTTAAACACTCATCTGATCAGATATCTGATTTTATGGCTGTGTAATTTAGCACATTTGATTTTAACTATATTTATTGTAATATCAGTAAGATAGTAAGATACTGTACAGAACTTAAATAAATAATGCTAAGATATGAGACTTACAATCCATTATAAATTAAGTGGATTTAACATGGTTTATTGCGTGCTATCAATATTCATACTGATAAAAGTTATAACCACAAATAAGTTAGTTTTATAATGCATTATAATTGTTGTTATGATTATTTATGAGATGAAACATTTTTATATATATATATATATATATATAATGCATTATGCATTCATTATAATGCCTTAAGAATACCCTTATAATGTGTTATAAAAATAGGCTTCATAGAAAGTGTTAACATGAAGGTAATTATAGGCCCGGTTTCACAAACGGGGCTTAGCTTAAACCAGGACTAGACCTTAGTTAAATTAAGATATTTAAGTAACTTTTACAAAAATGCCTTAGAAGAAAACATTACAGGTGCGCATCTTGACACAGAACAATAACACTGAAAATATCTTGCTCTGACATATAAATATGTCAGTTGAGACAGCTCAAACATGCATTTTAGTCTGGGACTAGCTTAAGCCTTGTCTGTGAAACCGGGGAATAAAGTGTTACCAAGAATGGTTCCAAAGTTTAAAATAAACTTAACTTTAAAGAGCCATACATGTAGCCAAGGAAACATTAAATGACAAAAACTAATACATATATAAATACATTTGTCTTGTTTTTTAGTACAACAAGATACTTGAGAATATATATATATATATTATTTATTTATTTTAATTTTTTTATTATTTTTTTGCTGCTCAAGTAAATTTATCTTGTTTTTAGGATGTTAAAATTCTGGCCGATATGGATAAGTTGATAAGTATCCCCATGTTATGGCTGATAAATTATAATTGGCTGATATTAAATTTATAAACTGTTTTGTTTCAATTATTATTAAACATTCAATATTGACCGGTAGTGTTAAAAAATATATATAATTGGCATCTGACCAACATGATTCTGATCGCAAATCCTTATTTTAGATTTTTTGTTTTTTTGCTTAAAAAAAAAAACCTAAATCAAAACAGTATTTTGCAGTGTTTGTGTGTCCGTGCTTGAATCTATAGCCATAGCACTGATGGAAATTTAAATATTATATTTAAAAATGTTTCTCACTAAAGAATTTTATTCTTTGAAATACATTGTTTAGATCTGCATCTGCTAGCATTATCCAAATCATGAACAGCAAGCCCTTCACCAAAGTACAGCTGCAGAATATACCACATTCAGAGCCACGCTATCAACCTGCATAGGGAGCTGATTGCACGTCAATTGCAATTTTCCACACATAGTGTAATGATCAAAGATTGCCGGGAAAAATTATTATTTTCCAGCTATCACTACACATGTCTCTTGTAGTGCCGAGAGCTACAAAGAAGGGAAATAAAGCATTACATTACATCCTTTTTTTAAATGCATCACTAACGGTTGTAATTTTTATCGATTTCTATCATCCGAATTCAAGGCACTCGTAAAACAAACAGGATTTCAGTGCTCTGTGGTTTTAATAGCTCACGATTGCTTTTATGGTTTGTTCAAAGCTATCGGATGCTATCACATCACTGTCTAAATTCAGACATATGTTCCCTATTGTTGCAGGCTTGCAAAATTCAATCAGATACATAATTTCACAGTTATTATTTATCAGTGATATGGCATGAAAAGGTGAGAGTTATATATTAGACTGATGTCATTGTTGTGTAATAATGGTAAAATTCCAACCTTCTCTACCCTGCCTCTTCCGAATATCAGGCTGTGCATTATGAGACTTCTTGAGGGGATAATCACTCTTGTTGTTTGTTCTTAAAGCACTGAGCAATTACGGCCAATTTAAGTGTTATATTCTGCCTTTGTAGTGTCCATATATTTCAACAAAATATGTCCCTGGTCTGTATGGAGTATCAGAGACCTATTTGGAGAAAGTGTTGGCACTTGAAAGTACAGTTTACCAGTGGTGAAGCTACTCATTAAGACCAGGGCTTGATCCAAGCAATGTAGTATACATGCAGACAAAAGAAGATCAATGCACATGTAGATGGCACCTCCTTCTCTTGAACAGGAA